GTGTATATATATATATATATATATACATATACATATACATATATATATGCATTCAGACTTTTTGCACTGATATATTATTTCATGAAAAATAGATAATGTCCAAGACAGATGATACATAATAGATAAATAATGTCCAAGTCACATTTCACCCTAAAATTTCACCCTCAATTCTTTTTTTTGTTCCCAGCACAGAATAAAAAAACGAAAATGTTAATTGCGAACACACACACACAGATCAGGTTTTCATGCTATTTTAAGTCTTATTTCGATGTAACAAAGTGGTTAAATCTAAGTGTGATACTTTTTAATTAGTCTTCCCATTAATGCAATTATATTGTTCATTGTTCATTCTGATTCGAGAACTTGCATTAACACAAGAGGCGGCCAATCACAGCCAAACATAACCAGTTATATCAATCATATCGCGATGGAGACATTGCCTCCTCTCACGTGACTTTCCGCCATTTATTCTCAATTACCCCACCACCACCAAATTCACCGCATGCTATGGTGGGGTCTGTTAAAACTCAATGTACTCAAGGGAGGCATGACAGAAGCAGATTTCTGCTGAAACTTTACCTGCTGGTGTTGCTGTTGGACAATGTTTTGTTAGAAAAATTAGTGATTTATACACTTTTTAATGTTATATTTTGTAATATTTGCATTGTTTTATTTTTGTTCGTACATATACACATACATGTACACATATATATAAACATTATGTTTAGCTCCAAAATTCTAATTACAGTAATGCATAATTTTTATGTTTGATTTTGAATGATCTTAAAACAAGTCCCACTGTATTTAAGCAAAATATAATTTCTTATTTCTTTATTTTGATCTAGGTGTCAAATATGACCTGGGTGTGGTCTTGGCAGGTTTTGTGCGATTCACTCATCCTTATAAAATGTAACTACAGTACCAATATTCTTTCTTTAAAAATAACTAATTGGCTTTTATGACTGCCGCCTGCACTCGTTACCTCTTAAAGACTCGAATGCAGCTGTAGGGAATCGTGTGCGTTTACCGCAGGCACATTAGCAAATTAATTCAGACTCCTTAAACAGACACACGCACGACTGCAAGCAAACACACATAAAATCAAACACGTGCACTTGTTTATCCCAGATAAATGCTACAGATGCACGTGTAGATATGCACGGCACACTCGAAAACAGAGGAGATGAGACTCTGGCTAATTAAATTTGTCGACCAAATAAACTCTCTATTTCTACAGCTCTATTTCTGTTGTTTTCACTCTTCAGCATAGATTGTGTTTCCTTCAGCACAGGAAGTTTACTGAGGACACAGGACATTTGTCTCTCTTTCTCTTCTGTCTATCTATCTCCTTCCCAATTCCTTATCCTCTCCTCCTTCTCTTTCCATCTCCGATCAATAATCTGTCTTGGCTGGCAAAGAATTCAAGGAAACGGTCCAATTATTCCATTTGCATAATTACAACAGTTTGCAAACAGCCACAATCCCGGGTTGCAAAACGGCGGCTAGAATAAACTCCATTCCTTACGACCGGAGATATATGGGGTTGTTGTTCAAGTGCATTTAAAGGGAACACTCACCCAAAAATAAAAAAATTCTGTCATCATTCACTAACCTTCATGTCACCCTTGGAACAATAATAGAATTTTCATTCTTGGGTGAACTGTCCCTTTAAGAGCATGAGGTTTGAGTAGAGTTAGCTGAGTCATTCAGAAGTGTTCAACTTTCATGTTGTGTGTGTGTGAGGAGCTCTCAGACGCACTGAAGCATAGGCAGCCATGAATATGTATGTATGGGGGGGGGGG